TAGAGCTAGTCCTGAAGAAAACAGAGAGAAAAATTTGAAACCAAAGGCTCAGAGCCTCCCTATGCCTCCTACAATCTAACTCCCTCAAAATAATAAGAAAAATACTATTTATATGTAAATTTAGGGCATCCCCACGTTCAGCTTGTTCAGAAATCGCAGCAACCAATTAAAGTTTTCAGAATTTGCAAATTGGCCCCTAATGTTTGTAAAAATTACAAATTGACTCAAAAACTTTAGAAATTTTTCAATTTAGTCCTTGTTACAGCGTGCCCACGCGGGAATACAACATTGTTGCTGGAATTTCCTGCTTCCTTCATTGATTTTGGCATGGATTTTGTGTGCCCACGCGGGAATCAACCACTTCTTTTCTAACTTGAAACTTGATTTAATAAAACCTTCAAAATCTCTTCAAAATCAACACTTTTCTTCTTTTTGTTCCAAATCCTTCCTATGATCAAATTTAGAACCAAAGCACTAATATTAGCATAGATAATATTCAAAAAAACACATAAACCACCACAAATATCATGCTAATATTAACATTGTCACTACTGTTGCATCATGGTTCACCCGATTCTTGGATAAACTGAGACTCTTACCTTCTCCGTCATCAGTAGTTTGAGGGGACATGTCAATATGATAATTATCTTATATGGTGATTATCTAGAGTTGTGATATTATGTAGTTAATTATCTAAGTTGTGGTTAAGTTTATCTTGTATTTGATATTATCCCATGTGGTATTATCTAGTTGTTAGGGTTCTCTTTGTAAACATAACTAATAGTCATAGTTCTATTGCTTAATATAAGCTATTTCATTCTCTAAGTGCCTTTGAACCCTAGTAGGCTAGTCGACTCGAATCAATGCCATCCCAGTTTAAGCTTAACAACATTGCCTTAAATGCTTGTTGCATTCTTGGATTGTACCAAATTGTGCATTTGACTTGCAAGTAACACATGGGGAAATTAATCTTCATATACTAATTGCTCAAGATTTTTACTATAACTTGTATGGAGAAATTAAAGGTACGAGAAAGTAGGCAAATATATAAAAGCATGTGGATTGTGTAGGTTAATTTTGGTGGGGGATGGGGTGAAGGGGGGCAATTGTAATTGAAAGAACGAATTGGTAATTGGTCTTTGTTTTTTTGCATGGAAGCATTCCCAATGAGAGAATATCGAATCAGTCCCTCTTTCTTTTTGCTTTTTTTCGCAGTTAGCTACAGCTCTCTTTACCATTCCCCAAGAAAATGGCGGGTGTACTACAATATCTTCTGGTTTTCCATTTCTTTTCTCAACAAAATTTTAAAAACCCTAATTTATTTATTAAATAATCTTGCCAAATTTTAAAATTTTTTTTCCTCTTTTAGTACCGTTCTTGGAGAATGATGTGCTGATTCTTCTCTCTTTATGCGCCAATTAGACAGAGAGAAAGAAAAAGGGGAAGAAAAACTCATTCAAAAATTTTTAGTAATATAGTAGAATCGAATCGTATAAGGAAAAAAGAAAAATATTGACAGCAAAAAGCCAATTAGCCAGTATAACAAGAAAAAGAAAAAAGAAAAAAAAAAGATGGTCAAATTAAACCTCGAAGACTTCTCTCTTTGCCATCATTTTCGACTATCTTTATCGAAACTCTTAACAAATTTTGTTCTTTTTTCTTTTAATTTTTCACTTCCTTTGGTACTAAGCTTGCCAAAATCTCCCAACTTATAGTCCCTCATGATCAATATAAATACATTTCCTATCCCATGAAGATTGTAGCATTACAAGCAAGACAATAATTTTAAACGCAATAAGTCTAATATTTAAAATCAAATGTCATATAATGGTCATGAGTTTTTTTTTTTTTTTTCTTGTATCGATCCTTCTAAAATCTTTATTAGGAAAAAGTTTCCATATTATATATTGGATCGATGAGAATTTGAGAAACAACGTTCTCATAGGAATTGTAGCCATGCAAAAACTTTAAGTTTACGTTCTTCGATTTCAGCTTCAGAGATACGGTCATTTTTTTCCCCAAATCTGACATGCACGAGTGGCTTTCATCGACCCAAGAAAAGAGAATGCTCGTGAAATACGAAAACCCAGTAATATAATTTAAACTCATTAATTCTTTTATTGTTACAAAGCTATCATATGGCTACATCATGAATAAGATTTTGAAAGTTATCAATTAGGACTGTTTTAATTTGATTTTTAAAACGTTGAGAAGTAGTCAGCAAACACACAAGGACAAAATCGATTTGCTTCAGATACAATTAAATTTTCTCAATCATTATTGCACACTACAACCACTGGGGATAATGATAATAATCTTGTAAATAATTCAAACTTGGAAAAATTATTGGATACATCTACCCATACAATGCTATAACCCAAGCAATAGACCTGTATTATTAAGAAATATACAAATCTCAAAACTCCACTTGAATTATTTTTTGAGATGAAAATGATAAAATTTAACAATCAATGTTAATTACTATGATGTGCAGCATAATGACAAGATGTCTCTTTTACTAAGAGATACTCCCTCCGATCTTAATTATAATGCATAAATTAACTTTAATATTAACTAGATGTTTGGCCGGGCGTCTCTACTTTAATTTTGTGTTACTAGATAAATGAATTCTTAATTTGAAAAAAATAAAACAGCTACACATTTGTTTTTTTTCCCCCTTTTTTAGTCAAAAATAAAAATAAAAATTAAAAAAATCATCTGCCAAAGGAGAAAAAATATTGAAAAGTACAACGATACAAAAATCATACAAAAGAATGTGGAGTAATAAAGGGGATAAGTTTATGGGCAAATTTAAATGTTATTTTAATTTGATTGATAAATGATAAATGTTAAGAGTTAAAATTGTGTAGCTATTTTTGTAAAGTAGCTTTTGTTTCTCCGGATAAGAATTTTTTTTTTTTTGGGATGACACGTGGCAGAATGGTTAATGTAATATGGTACATTTAGAGCAAAAAATTTTTAATAAGAAATTGCCACATTAACATCATGTATTTGGCTTTAATAGGGTAAAAGGGATTTATGTCTTAGGATATGGACAAGTATTACTCAGTCTCTAATGATATTGAACCAAACACTTACTATTTATGCTAGTTTCGTGGGTAATTTAGAGATTACAAAAAAGTCTGGTGTACACTGGAATTCTGATAGGGCTGCTGGGCCTAATGGTCAGAAGGTATTGTAGTTACCATGAATTCATGGATTCAAAATATTGTTGGGAAATTTTGTTTCCCGAATTTTTTTTCCATATAAGTTAGTATACATTATGTGATTATGTCACTGAGCAGCTTTAAAACCTTTCCGTTAACAAGATAGCATTCAGTTAACTAAAGCAATGGAATATATGTTGTGAGACTCATTTGAAAATCAAGATTTGGTCATACGAATAAACCTTTTTGAGTTGCCATAGATTTGGGTTAGGTTTCAAAGTACAATGGTGAATATATTTTCGAATATTCAAAATAGAAAGTAATCCTCATTTACTTTGAAACAAACTATCTATGTGGGTCTAAGGTATATTAACGACAAAGAATTGGGATAAGGGTCAGTGGGGTCTTTTTTTAAAGAGATTTTAAAAACAAATTCACAGAATATCCAAAATGTCTGACCAAAAAATAGTCACATTTGTTCTCACTTATCCAAACATGCAAATTGTTTTAATTTTTTTTTAAACTCTTCAAATTAATTTATCCGGTCCTATTTATAAGATTTTATACTTTATCCTGATCTGTTAATATAATTTTTTATCTATATCTTCTTGCATGCTAATTGCTGAATTCAGATATAAGAAATTAGTTAAGGCAAATATTCCGTTTAATAAACATGGAATTTGTGGAGTATCTCAAGCTTCTCTTTTGAGTTTTCTAATAGTTCCTTCCTCATATGGTTTTCCTGGGAAACACGGCAGAAGATAGGACACTTTTATTTGACTGCTTACTTTTAAGAAAGAAAAAACTAGTGGATTCCGTTTATAGGGTTTAATTGGAAAATGGGTATGATAACAAGAATTGTTTACTATCAGTATAACTATTCCAAAGCAGCTGTTTGGTTTATAAATTACGTTAGGTAAAAATTTTTTATATTTAATTTATTGAATTAATGGTACAAAAATTAATTACGAAATTTAAAAATTAATAAATGTTTTTTTAAAAAACTTAATTAGTTTGTTTGACTCTGAATAACTCTTATTTGAATATCAAATTTAATACAAGAAATAAAATCTAGAGTTTAATTCCAATTCAAATTATAAATTAATCAATTTAAATTCTCATCCAATGATATTGGTAATTTGAATTTGACTCAGAAATTTTAAATAAAACTTTATAGTTAAGAAAAAATTATTTTTATACTATACTAATAAATTTATATACAATATAATATCATAAAAAAACAAAGTGTTGAAGAAAAAAATGTTGCAAAAACTAGAATCACATAAAAACTCGGCCTCCTGATGGGTTTAAAAAATTCTTAAATAATTGAGTTTCAATTCAATCTTACAAATTCAAACCTGCCAACCAAACACATATAGTCAGAATTATTCTATTCCCTCATACCCACCAACCAAATACCCCCTTAGTTTTTCTTTCCGTCCTATATTTAATAGGATACTTTTCTCAAACTAAAATTTATAGTTTCATAAAATAACTAATACTTTGGGACGAAATAAGTACTAGCACTGCTAGTTGTTTTAGAGAAACACATTAGAACAAGTTCCATTTGAAAAGTTTCATGTCCTATGTTACTTTTTATTGTTGATAACAAAGCTCAATTATGTACAATGATCATGTTTTATTTGTGTATTTCTTTCTCCTCATCCATCTAAAGACACAATTTGTGTCTCTTACCGCCTCGGTTAAAAGATTTATATAGTGTGCAACATAACTTGTTTACACCATTATGGTTAAAGATAAAACACAAACTATTATTATAGAACATATGGAATATACGCTAATAATCAACGACGGGACAAGCAAACACATCTTTTACAAGAAGTAGTGGCTTGTGGCAACAAGTCCTTTTCAGAGGATTTTAAACCTAGAAGGCATTTTTGACTAAACAAAACTACGAAATTTGGCAAATTATGACCAAACAAATGAACAAACACTAGTGGTGAGATTGTCTGTTCAAAGTCATTCCCAGAAACTGAAACAAAAAAAAATAATAATAATAAAAATGATATAATGATGCATGATGATGATGAATAAAGAAGGGAATTTTTGGGCTTTTACAAAGGAATTTGTTGGTATGTGTTATATTGCACTTGCAAACCACACTCTAGAAGGAAAAGCCTTAAAAGAAGCTATTTACAAACAACACACATACATAATAATAGCTTTATCAAATTTCACAATTTTTATTTTCTCTTTCCCCCCTTTCTTTGGAATCCTACCTTAATTTCCCCTTTATCTGCTTTTTCTCCTTTCATTATTTATTTTTCCCTTTCTTTTTTGGTTCTTGATTCCATTGTTGAAGGACACAAGTGAAGAATATGAAAAAGAACACACACACACACACACACTCCAATTCCTAGCAATCCTCCTCCTCATCAGCTGCCTCAATCTTCTCGATTATCGAGGATTTTGTAATATGGCCTTTGTTGGCCAGTATAAAAAGCATTATAAACCACCCATTTTCACAAGCACTCCCAAGTTTCCTCCTATCAACAATCTTATTCTACTTCACCTGAATTTCAACCTTCTAAATTCATCTTAGTTTAGTATTTTTTTAAAGGTTGGTTTGATTTTGTTTGTTCAACTCTGCGTTTGTTTTTGTTCCCTGGATTTTCTACCTGATGAATGTGATAATGTCTTTCAGACAATATTCTACATGTTTACTTGTGTTTTACTTGCACTAATTCTAACATGGGATTTTGTATTTGGATTTGAATTCTTCAGGATAAATTAAAGAACCCGAGAAAAGAAAGAAAGAAAAAAAAAATGAACCGACCAGGTGATTGGAACTGCAGGTCTTGCCAGCACCTGAACTTCCAGAGGAGAGATTCATGCCAGAGATGCGGAGACCCGAGACCTGGTGGTGACTTCGGGAGCTTCCTTGGAGGCGGAGGACGAGGGAATTCCTCGTCGTTTGGCGGGTTCTCGTCGGGTCCGGATGTAAGGCCAGGAGATTGGTACTGCTCATTTGGAAGCTGCGGAGCACATAACTTCGCCAGCCGGTCCAGCTGCTTCAAGTGTGGTGCACTTAAAGATGAATCCGCCGGCGCCGGCGGACCTCTCGACGGCGATCACATGATGGCTCGAGGCCGGGCTTTCGGGTTTGGAAGTGGCGGAATTAGTGGTGGCGGTGGTGGCAGTCGCTCTGGATGGAAATCCGGAGACTGGATTTGCACCAGGTAGGTTTACATATATATAGTCATTTCATGTCATAATAATAACAGCTTTGGAGGTGTCAAAAGCTTCTAGCCTTGTGGCTGGTGACATGCATTAGGGAGGGAAACCAAAAAACAAGCCTATTTTTCTCTGTCTAGCAAAGTATTTTTTTTTTTTTATTCATATAGACAGCGTGATTATAGACAGCGTGTCTAGCAAAATTCTTATATCATTATGTAAAGACTTTATTCAAGTCGTGCCTGTTTTGCATGTGCGTCGCTTACGCCATTGGCGCTTTGCCCGCCTCTTATGTATATAACACTAATTTTTTTTCCGATCACCTAGCCATATATTACCTTCTGTATTTTAATGTATTTTACTGATCATAGTGAAATTGGCCTCTTAGGGTTTTTCATTCATACACGATTAATCTAGATGACATATTAAGCTCATTAGCAAACTTACTGAATTTTTTGTTTTAACCTTTAGGCCCGGATGCAATGAGCACAATTTCGCAAGCAGGACAGAATGTTTCAGGTGCAGTGCACCAAGAGAATCTGGCAGCAGGCCTTCCTATTAGTTCTTTCATAGATCGATTCTCCATTTTTGGTAAGCCAATATATTCATTTTGTTTTTTTTTTTTCTTGAACTTTTATGAAGCTTCTAAGCATAATCTCCATATTGACCACACGCAACTTGGGTGCATGGCAGATTTGCAGGTCCTGAAGCTAGTATCTCTGAGAGAATGAAGATAGAGATCCTGATCCAATATGCAAGACCGATGATGATTATTGCAGCAAAAATTTTCCCCGTCCCGCCGCCCTAGCTAGCTATAGCTACCATTTCCTACTTTTTAATTTCCAGCTTTTGATCAGTTTCAATACCCTTTCTATTTCTATATCATCTTCTTATTTTTAATTAGTAGGTTCGTTAGATTGGATAGATTGTTGATGGTTCAAGATTGAAGTTTAGCAGAGAGGAGCAATAGGTTCTTGTTTGCATGTTTAGTTTAGTAGTACTTCTTCTTAACTAGAGAGCTAATCAAATCTTGTATTCTCTCTGTTTGTTTCACTCTAAATTAATCAATATATCTCATTTTGTGTTCATGAGACGTTGCTTTCTGTTATCAGTCTTTTGAAATTTTTACATTGTCAATTTTCTTAGCATTTCAAGCTATATATGTCAAAATTAACCAAATTAAGAAATCCATTTGCATATATTTGTTAATTTCCAAGAGTGGTCCAAAGAGAGAACTTCTGACAATGTTTCTTTCAGCAATTTCAATTGAAAATCAATGTTGCACAAGAAACAATAAAAGTAACTAAAGATGCAAAACAATTATGGACCACACTTGAGTCTGGTTCTAGACTGATTCGACCTATTTTTGATGCAACATCAAAATCATCTCCAAGTAATTAATTAAGATCACTAATTTACAAGCAAGGACTTAGAAAGATCGCAAATGCGTGCCAAAAAAAAAAATGTCAAGAACAAAAGAAATATTATTCGAACCCATTGTTCTTGATATAAATGCAACCATCTGCCTCACTTTTCGCGTTGTTACAAATCCTATTAGGGCGAAGGATGCCATCTACCTAATTGTACCATTTGCAACTGCGTGTAATGATAACAAGTGAACTCAAATTGTATTGGTCTCTCAGTGAAGCCATAAAGACATCTCATACGATGACATACATTAGAAAAGGTTTTTCATCCTTTGCTTCCAAGAAAAAAAGAAGAAGAAGGTTTTCCACCATAGGCATCTACGTGCATGCATGTTTTTTTTTTTTTTTCCCTTTTTCTTTTTATATCTTTCTGAAAATTAAATTTCAGAGTAAAATCAATGTAAAACTTCAACTATATTTATTACGTGCATGCATGTTGAATAAGGTTAAGTACAAAACACTGGTCAAAATTCCAAAGTTCATAAATATATCATGAATGTTTCAGCCATGCAAATCTAAATTGCGAACTTTTTGACTGTCTTTCTTTTATTTCGCTTTGATGATATGAACATGTCCTAACTCCAAAAGAACCCGTTGCTAATTACAGGACGGGAATCTCTTTTTCTCTCTGCATTTTTTTTTCTCTTTTGTCAGTCAAAATGAATGAATCTCAATAAATTTCTTAGCTACCTTGTAATCTTATCGAGACATAAAGAGAGCATATAGCTGCATCTTCCCCTTTTACTTTAATGATTTAAAGTGGATTGGCAAAAAACTAATTTCTGAAAAAAGTTGTTAGAAAAAAATGAATCCCATTTTTTGTCCTTAAAAGCTAAGCTATATAGTAAAAGCAAAAGCTATCACAAAAATTCACCCTCATCAAAAGAAAAAGCTTGAAAGAATAAAAACCCCATACATAATATTCTTTCACTTCAAAACATCAATGCTCTAATCAACATATGTAAATATGTGAATTCATCCATCCTTAACTAATGGCCAGGGTTCAAAACATGCTCTGATATGGAGCAGGATTGAAATTATTTGGCCAATTATTTTACCTACCGAAATGCATATTTATAATTCAGCAAAATGGATTACTCACTATTACCAATGGTAGACACATAATAAATATGAGAAACAAATATAAATCTACACACAAGTACTCGTGGTTGCTTGTCAATCATAGTTTTCTTTAGCAAGTTGTTAACAGCTAGCCCATGCAAAATTTGCACCACTTTGAAGAGTTACATTAATGATTAAACATAAGTTCCAGAACTTTATCAAATATATGTGAGAAAGAAAGAGACATGATAAAGCAATGATAAATTCATCTTTACTTAGATAAGTGTTTGACAAACACCACTGAATTATTTAAATAAGATTGAGCGAGCTTTCTTTTACTAGGCCTTTGAAGTAGAAAGAAACTTTGCTTCACATAGGATTCCCAATCTTTTTAAGCTTATTAGTACATTTTTAGGGGTTCCATCCTCATTGACCTTGTTTGTGTGTGGGCATGCTTAACTAAAGATTATTGGTCAAAAAGTGACCACACCCCTTCATTTGGTGTTTCCTACTACACTCCATTATTTAGCTTTTAGCAAGATTCTTGTCTTGCTTTTGGCAGGCTTTATGAACCCTCATGTGGCTTATTCATGATATAGTCAAGTGCCTCGCACTCAATCATGTCACCATTTAGAGTCGAATTAACCCGCTTACTGGCTTAAATGTTGCTTCAAACAAATTTCTAGTATAATCATCAAGTTAAAGTCAGTATCCTCTAAATTAATTCTCTATAAATAAATAACTTTCATGGAATAATATCTTTTTCGGTCCCAACTCGAAATTAATAGGAACAAGCTTAATTAATTTATAAAATAATAATTTTTCAAGACCCCCCTATGTAAATATAGGTCCTCAAAAATTCATAAATTAATATTTATCCAAACAAAAATTAATAATTTGTATTAAATATGAAACTATTGATCTTTATTTTTTCTTAAAGCTTACATCTTTGGAAATATCATCTTTGAATCCAATAAAAAATAGTATTTATAACCCCCATTTTCTTTTCCTCTCGGTAAAGATTTAGAATTTGTTTCCTAACATGATTGATAAATTTGTTAAATTAAAAAATTATTATATAAAATAATATTCTATAAACATGACAAAATAAAAGTATACACGCATAGAGTTTTTTTCTCATAAATAAATCCCACCTTTAATTAAATTTCAATTTTTCAAATAATATTAATTTTTATTTAGTAAAAAACTCATAAGGATAGTTTATATAAACAAACCGAGTATAGTTAAACCGTGGTTACAATATGACATATTGAAGAGTCATATTCATGGAATATTGTGATCCCCCATCTTAGATTTCGGTCTCCTTCGTTGTACCAAAAAACATATAAACATACCTCAACTTATATTTTAATTTTTATGATAAATACTTGTGAATCGTCCCATTTAAATGATCAGACAATTAATACAACTGAAAAAGAAAATAGAAAGAAAGAAGGAGAAAAAGTGATGTTATTATGCATGGAACCGCTTCTTACCAAGTAGTGATGATCATGTGCAATTGTGCATTGATCATCTGATCTTCAAAAAAGCTCTAAATTTCATGAAGACATGACAAAATGGGATCTAAATCATATATATCTTGGAAGGATATATGCATGAAATTGAAAACTTTAATCATGATGATTCTAATGTCAGTAAAAATTGGACCCTCAAAGACAATCAATCAATCAATCATGTCAAAATATTTCTTGAATTTAAAGCCTCTATTATAAGCATGCAGAATGTTGAATTTTGTATAAGAACTGTGATGGTCAAATGGCATACAAACAACACAAAGCAAAGCTACCGATCCTCTCTAATCCTTAAAGGGTATTGGACAAAAAATTAAAGAAAAAGATGGGTTTTTTATTGGAGCCCTTTAAAGGGTTTTTTGGCTTCAATTCCCTTTGTAAAGACAATATTATTAGTTGGCCGACGGAGCGGAGTTGACAATTTTGATGATAATTTGATTTGAGCAGCCAATATATGCACTTAGTTACCCTACAAGACAAAGACAATTAGACAAAGGATAAGCCTTAAAGAGAGGGGATCCTAAAGCAGCTAAGATATAACTGTATTTTGGAGTAAAAAGTTCCCAACTTGTCAAAAAGCAAAGGTAAAATGCATCAAGTTTTTTCAGTAAGACTTTTATGTTTGTCTTCCAACTTTTTGTAATTGTGTGTTTATAGTTACTAAGTTTATCAGACTTAATAATTTTAGGTGGGATGATAAGGGTAAATAATTGTAACATCATGTTAAAGAGTTAGAACGTTAGCAAAAGTAATAAAAAAGAAATTGATTCACTCTTAACCATAGGTCGAGGGTTCGAACCTCGTCATGGGCATGGAACAACTTTAAATACAACTGTCTCACCCATTGAGATGCCTACAATTCAACGAGAGAGATTGATCACTGTTGCTGATGGTGGACACTTTGCAAATATGAAAAAAAAAAATTGAAAAAGAAGGAGAATTGATGCATTTTACTTTGGCTTTTGAGGATCGACAAGTACTAACTGATATTGATAATCATAGTGTGGTACGGGTGGTGTTGAGTACCGAACGACGGGAGTTCAGGTTAGCTTGGTTAATGGAATCCAGAACTTGATGCGAAGTAATTGGTGCGTGAAGCTCTGCCATATTTTCCGAGGAGCCAATTTTTCGGCTGATTACTTAGCATGAATAGGGATGTCTAGTCGAAGAGGATTTAGTAGATTATTTGATCAACTGAATGGGCTAAAACTGTAGTTAAAACACAATATTAGCGGTATTTCTTATCTATGGAGTCACTTTAACATTTGCCTCCTTCATTGTTTTTTTTATAAAAAAAACACCGATAGATGATTTTATCTTGAGACTTCCATTATGTTTTTAATCTGAGTCCAATTAGAGACATTACATTAAGCTGATATCCTTTTTAAAAATAAAAAATAAAAAACTTAAGCTGATAAATTGATAATCCACGCAGTATATATGTCTAGAGGATTCTCCAACCAAGGTGTTGTTGGATTTGTGAGTTGTTTTTCTTTAAAAAATAATAAAAAATTAAAATTAATCTTATCACTGAATTGTTAGATATTTTTAATATCTCATTGAGTTGTAGATAGGTACCTCAATCGCTCGTTAAATTGTACAGATAATATTAGAATGTCAAATTTCTACGATTGAGTTTAAAATACATTAACGGCCTTGTCATGTATCCACCTCAATCGATAGTTATCTACTCTCACTTAATTGTAAGTTACAATAGTGTCCAATTCCCCTTGTTATAATCATTTGATGTCTTGATGTCTTTCTTGAGTTTTAGGTGACAACAGTGTCAAATCTCTGTCACAAAGTTGTTTGGTATATCACCTTAATAATCTCATTGAGTTGTAGGTAAAAATAGCATTTAGTTTCTTTCACTAAATTGTAAGATATAAATCTCAAAAATCTTGTTAAATTAAATTATAAGCACATGAGATATTATATATCTTAATAATTGAGTGGTTAAGTATCTCACTTCGATATTCAATCTATGATCCCCTATTTTACAAAGGTTTTCTATGATCCTCTGACAGTTCTTTGTAATTTTCAGTCTACAATTAAAAACTGTCTTATAAATTTTTTTGAAAATCTGATAACAGTTTTGTCTTTATTCTATAATAAAAAAAAAACATCTAACTCTTTTTTTTTTCTTTTGGTACAATAGAGAAAGGCATAAAGACTAGTTACATAAATACATGAAACCATCACATAAAGTGGATAGGAGACCTCAATTAGGTCATGTTCTAACCACAATTTAACATTAATTAGAAGAGCTGGCAATGATTAGAACCCTCCTGGACATCTAGAAGCTAACTCTGTCATACAATCTGCTCAAAATTGGCCTGTTTGTACACATGTTTCAATAGAACAGAGCAAGACCTACTCAGCAGCTCCCGAATACCCCGAACGAGATACGAATGAATTCCCAACTCGACTTCTTCACCCTGAACCATCTTCAATAAACACATACTATCAATTTCAGCAATAACCTTCCGTCCTCCGATCTCCCAGGCGAAATTAAGACCTTGAAATAAGCCCCACAGTTCCGCACTTGTTATGGCACAGAACTCGATATTCATGACAAACCCTGCTTTCCAAGCTCCACAATCATCCCGAATTAAAACCACCGGCACTAGCCATGCCCGATTCATGGTTGAAAACTCAACTTCATCCACCCCATTGGAGGAAATGCCCATCAAACCATGATGCTCTCTCTGACAACACCAATTCGTGGGATTTTCTTCTCACTCCCAATAGCAGCTTTCACAGAATTTACCCAATTATCCACATCCTTTAAAATTCTTGCAACATTCGAACCATCTCCTTTAAATATTCCTTGATTCTGGGCCAATCAAATCCGCCATGCAGCAAGTCCAAAAATCAAATCCCATGCAGAGCCTCTTACTCCTATTTATATGATAGATTCACCATAAACTATTCCTCTCTTTCTGCTTCACAAAAATCCTGCCAGCAATCAGCTAGAACTGATCGCCTCCAAATAGACTTCGAGGCCGGAGTGTCACGCAAACATGCAGGATGGAGTCATCGACTCACCCACAGAGATCACACTATGGAGATTGGGAAAGGTGCCGATGATGCCGCTCCTCATTTATCAGGAGTTTATTCCAACCAACCAACCACAACAAAATTCGGACTCGCTGCGGTCCTCCCCACTTCTACACAACCTTACATAGATAATTCTGGACAACATGATCTGATTTTGAAGCAGCTGTATACGGCGATTTAGTAGAAAAACAGCCATCAGAAGACCACCCCCAGTACCTCATATAATCCCCCGCCTCCACTGACAAAGGCAGCACAACCGCAACTCGCATTAATGAAGTTGCCGAAAGTAGATGAATGAAAGAATTCCACTTCCGTTGTCCACCTTCATCCACAAATGATCCCACTGTAGCGTACAAACGCGATTTCGGCACCCGTGCAATCGCCAAACTAATTAAAGGTTCAGAAAAATTGCACCATCGATCCACCAAAACAGAACACTCCTTCCATTCCTGACATTCCACCTCACTCCCTCCAACATCAAACTCCAGACTTTACTCAAGGAATTGATCAAAACTGATCCTTTCAGAACAGAAAATCGCAGTGCATTATCGAAGGATCCAAGTTGTATTTTGCGTTCAACACGTTAATCCATAATTCATCAGGCTTCGTCAAGAAATTCCAGACTAATTTCATCAGAAGCGCTTCGTTCATTTTTCTCATGTTCTTTAGACCTAGCCCACCATAATTTTTGGGTTTGCAAATATTACACCAATCGACAAGACTCACTCTACGATTCACGTCTGTGCCCCTCAAACAAAATGACAACACTTTTTCTCTAGATCGTCACAAACAGCAGCCGGCACCAATAAAGATTGCATTGTATAAAAAGGTAAACAACCTACAACAGACTGAATAAGGGTGGCTCTTCCCGCCATTGACAGTGAAGACGTCTTCCATCCCGAAAGTCTACTTTTGGCCTTCTCCAAAATGCCATTGAAAATGCTCCATTTCACTTTACTGTGGATCAACGGCACACCAAGGTATTTACCAAGATCATCAACCTCGGTAAACCCCAATATCGTACCCAACTCTTGCCGTGTATCCTCAGCCACATTCCTAGAAAAGAAAATTTGTGTCTTCGAGGCCCTAACTTTCAATCCTAATTCATAACAAAAAGCATTCAGCACAAAACAGAGATTCACCGCCTGATCAACCGATGCTTTAGTAAATAACAACAAGTCATTGGCAAACATAAAAAAAGGAATATGAACCTTTCCCCGTCCTATAGAGATGGGCTTCCACTGCCTTGTTTCAACAGCTAGCTGAATTAAGTGGTCTAACTACTCCATGTAGAGAACAACGCCGCAAAAGGTCCTTTTTGTTGTAGTGATGTAAGGAGACATAGGATCTCCCTACCGCACACCCCTCGATGGCCGAAAGGAATCACTAATCGAGCCATTAAATTGGAGCTGCATAGAGGCTGATGTAACACAATTCATAACTCCTTTAACTATAAATTCTGGGAAACTGGCTAAAATTAGAGTTTCCTCGACAAAATCCCACCGAAGATAATCATATGCCTTCTCTAGATCAACCTTCATCATTGTATAGCCTTTCAAACCCTTCTTCGTTCGTATGGAGTGAATTAATTCTTGCGCCACCACAATATATCGGTAATATGGCATCCCGGAATGAAACTCACTTGAGTCGGGCCAATAATGCTAGAAAGTTGTGGTTTCATTCTATTAGCCAAAATCTTTGTCGTCAATTTGTACACCGCATTCAGCAAACTTATTGGCCTAAAATTCTTAATTTCTTGCGAATCCTTCACCTTTGGAATAAGTACAATCAGAATGTCATTAATGCCCCGTGGCATAACCCCATCATGTAGAATATGGTGCACCAACTGACACACTGACGGACCAACCAATTTTCACTATTTCTGAAAGAAAATTGCATACAACCCATCGACTCCTGGGGCTTTTAGCGGAGACATTTCTGATAGTGCCTTGTAAATCTCCGCATCTGAAACCTCCTCGGACATAATCTCTGAGTTGGCTTTCTCTAGTGGCGGAAACATATTATTCCACTGTAGTGCTCCAATCGGTGCCTCTCCCTCAGTGTATATATTTCTGAAATAATTCACTGAAATGGACCTCATCTGAAGTGGATCCTCAGTCATATAACCATTCTCATCACACAACATCAGAATTTTATTACACCTTCGTTGGATTTTAACTTTACAATGAAAATAGAAAGTGTTCCTATCTCAAAAAGTGTCCAATCCCTCTTAGATTTTTGAATTAGAAGTATCTCTTCCTGCACCATCACTTCCTCAAGCTCAGCCTAGAGCTTCACATCTCGCCTTAAAAGTTTATCCAAATGATAATATTGTAAGCATCTTTGAATCCCAACAAGTCTAGCTAGTAGAATTTTCTTCCGCCTGAAGATGTTCCCGAACACCTTAAAGTTCCACGACTGTAATTGACTAACAAAATCACGAACCGCCTCCTCACATGGTTTTCCTTCACTCAATGTCTCATTCACAATTCCTGCAAACCCCTCATGAGGTAACCAAGAAGCCAAAAACCGGAAAGGTTTAGAACAAAGCTCCATTGGATACGACCCACCAACTCGTAATAACAGGGGCAAGTGATCAGACTCCATACATGGAAAATGACGGACCATGTATGAGTTTTCTTTATCCAACCATTCTCCATTACTAAGAAAGCGATCCAGTTTCTCTGAGAGACACCTCTGAACCAAGTGAACTTGGTATCATCGGTAGGTAGCTCAAACATATTACTCTTCGCGAAACCTGAATCAAAATGATTATTCCGTGATGAGCCGCCCTCATTTTCTGACGCTCTCAACTGACTATTAAAGTCTCCACCCAACAACCATTGACCTCGTATATTATTGGCCACCAACCCTAAATCTCGCCATAAAAGCCGACGACGTTGAGGATTGGGGCTAGCATATACAAAGGTTGCCAAAAAAACATCGTTTTCCATTTTAATTTGAGCATGTACAAACTGCTTATAACACATAAAGATTTGAACGATCACCATCTCTTTCCAAAGAATCCAAATACCACTAGAGAAACCAATAGCCTCCACTCTAAACGAGCGATCAAAACCACTCTATTGAATGAATTCATCCGCATTCGAACCTCTAATTCTCAATTCTAAAACCGCAACCACATTTGGCTTGTAAACATTAATGATAGTTGAGAAAGCTCGGTTAAACTCCACCGAGGTTGCTCCCTGTCCATTCAAAGATAGGATTATCATTAAAAAAATAATAAATTAAAAGAGAGGGTGACAACAGTTAAACCGAACTTGGGACCGTAGTCCCTATGGCCATGAGCTCCTCCGGATCACCTGACACCGACACTGACGCATCCGACAAAGAGGCCAAACCATCCGTCTCCATACACATATCCTGCCTCTCAAAAAAATCATCCGGCCGGGAGGAATCATTGTCATAGAAAATAGGATTATCCATGACATGGACAACATTATGCTTCAATGCATCCAAAACAAAGATCGCCGATAAAACGATGGTCCTCGGAGTACTAGATACTTCATTCTCCACCTGGTCCAGCAATCTCTCCCCCTAACTTCAACTCCATCCATCTCCAATACACCACCATCTTCAGCCATTTGTTCCGGTTCTTTCTGACCACTCCCCTCCTCACTGTTAACCACCTCAGTCAGTGTCTACCCCACGTACATGCCCGTAGGTGTACTGTTCTCCTTCCCTTTCCTCCCACGGTTAAGAGTATTCCGTTTGTCTCTCTTCTCTGAACTTTCATACCGTTTTTCCTCCTTAGTTTATCTTACATCTCCTCCACCAATAGGGCCCTTACGCACATGAAATTCCCTCTTCTCCTCAAAATCACCCTCAATTACCTCCTGCAAAATACCAAACCTTGATCCCTGGTTTCCCAGATTGTTGTTTTGCTTAGAGATACTAGATGCATCCTTCTGGACTTTCCTAGTACTGGCCTTCCCCTTACTTGGAGCAGCCATCCATTCCTCTTCCTTTGATGTCCTTGAATGAGGCTGACCACCTGCCACACCCGTAGGGTCAGCACCACCCAATCCATTCGGTCCACTGCTACTACTTGGATCTGGGACTTCACTTGATGTCAGCGGTTTCAGACACGCCTAACTTTTATGAGCATAGACGCCAGGTTTTGGACACGCCAAACTTTTATGACCATAGACGCCACAGGTCAAGCAGATATCAGGTATGTTCTCATATTCCACACTTTGAGACTTGCCCATGATAGTAAACCAAGAGCATAATGGTTTTGTAAGGTCAAGTTGCACAACCAACTGAGCGTATTTGCCCCTAGTTTGCCGTTGCCGTCTGGTGATCTATTTTCAGGACCTTACCTACAATTCTTCCAATTTTTTGAAATACCTTCTTATGATAGAGTGTTATCGGCATCCATGGCAACTAGATCCAAGCAACTAGGGACACTCTATCGAAATTCGCATCAAAATCCACCGTCCAAGGTTTTACATGTAGATAGTTTCTATTAACCACCCATGGACCACCCACCAACACCTTAACTACTTCTTCTTGGGATTGGAAGCGAATCGAGAAGAAACCATTATGATGGTCTATCATAGAGCAACCCTTCATCCACGGTCAAAGTTGCAACAAACGGTTATACAAAGCTAAAATTCCCAGCGGCCTCCTCACACCCATTTGCTTCACCACGACCACATTTTCCGACGATTTGATACACGAAGTGTAGAAACTCTCCTTAATTTTCAAATTTGGGACAGGAGATTCGAAATCAATGACAACATCATCATCAGAATTACCCCCATCATCCTCATCATCGGACAGAGCCACATGTGGGCGTTCCTTGTTGACTTAATCATGCCACAACATTCTGGGCGAGTTCTACGCAGTCTTTTGCATAGTCACCGGCGGTGCCGGTCTATCAATCTGTTCATCATCTTCTGCCGCAGACACCGCTCGAATTTTTTTTGGAATACTTCCCATTTACAAGGGCGAAACAACATCCTTCAAGACTAGAAATTCATTCATCTCCCAATCCGGTGGCTGAACTCTTGGGTCCTCTGATGCCATGGTCAGTGATCGCAGCAGTTGACATTCAGAACTTAGTTTCCTGAAAATTCGTAGCAAACCCTACACTTAATTGAACCAAAATTTTTATTTTTAAAACCATCTAATCATTAAATAGGGAAAAGAATGTTTAAGTAAGTATAATTTCCCTCGCAGTGAGGTTGGGAGAGATATATGAGAGTTATATTATATTGTAATTCCAGTTGAAACTTGTCTAGCGAGCTCATCCGCCTCACTATTTACCTCTCATGTGAACAATCTTTAAATTTGAGAGATTTAGCATCCCTGAATTCTTCGTAAGCATGCATGATGTCTCTACGGAAAACCTTTATCTTTGTGAAGGAGATTGACAATTGTTTTACTGTCTGTTTGAACTGTTACTCCATTGGTCAGTATTTTTTTTTTCCTATATATGCTCTTCACTACATATATCTTTTTCTTTTTTAAAATATAGTTAAGAGCACTTTCAAAGATAAAACCCATAAATCTCATTTATTTATTTTATAGTTCATATCATCATTCCGCTAATAATCAATAATATTTAATTATGTTACACATATTTCTACAATGGTATAAACACTTCTGATGTATAAGAAATGTATAAAAAGAACCCACTTTTACATTAGTATAGGACACTAATCTTTAAATTTAAAAATATTACAATACAAAATAATTTTAAATTTAATATGATTTTAATTTGTAAATTAAAATGTCTACATTAAATATTTATATATATAGTGTAAATTTCATATAAATAAAATTACAATCTTAACATTGAAAACTACACGAGTATAATTAATAATAAATTAAAGTTATTTTATTTTTAACAAAGAACTAGTGGAAACCATAAAATGCGGAAAAACTTGGCTGATTATAAAATGTGCCAAAAATTGGAAGTTTTTTTTATTAAAAAGAAAGGCACTGTTTGTTGTTTCTGTACAAAATGAGAGAATAATAAGTCACCCCTAAAAAAATTAATAGATAAAAATGAGCTTACAGACACCCTCCACGTGCAAAGAAAAGAGACTTTTGTTATAAATAAATGAATGCCGAAAGAGAAAAAAACATTCACCCACTAGAATAGTTATATTAAATGTGAAGATGGAGAATTGATATATGTTGTCTGCCAAATTTTCCTATAAATATGAATGCTCATGCAATGAAAATTTTGCATCGAAACTTACTTTCTTCCCCCTTTCTACTTCTTCATGTTTTTAGTTTATAAAATAAATTTCTTTCTTTCTCTCTCTATAAATCTTACAAGTTATATCATAGTAATTAAATTATTAGAAGGTTATAAAATTAAAGTTTCTAGTAGAGAAGTTAAAAATAGTATCACTAAAATAAATAATTAGTACCTTTGCTTTGTATCATTGTATTTAGGTCCTAGTTTTATAATACGTTATCAACACGACGTTTCTACAGTCCACACAGGTATAAATTCTCTTATCTAGTATTTACATTTCATATGGATGGTTCTATAAGCAGCCTAATGTATATCGAAGTCAATTAAGTTCTTGTAATTTATTTAAAAGACTTGTCCTTGCTCAAGTCTTAAGTTTATATTTTCAAAGTGGGATACTTTAATACATTCCTGCGTAAATATTTATATAATTTATATTCTTGTGGGATGATTTAATGTCCCTTATGCATTTATTTTTCAAATATTCATTTAGATTGTCTTCGTAAGATATTTTTCTATGTCCCTATGTACTCTATCTAATATGTAGTGGGATGATTCATAAATCCCTACTACACTTATTTTTTCTAACAACTGATTTACTTTAATTAATTTAATTGAGTGTACGATAAATTTATTTGTCTTCATTCAAATATTGCTCTAGTTGTTTCATTTTGAATTGTTTGATTAAATTTTGACACTTGTATATGTATAAATATACTTACAATTTTACGTATAAAAATAGGTATATAATAGCTATTTTTAACGAAAATATTAACGGCTATATAACGGTCAATATCTTAAATTTCTCTAGAAGTATGTCCACTACAACAAAGAGGTTGATTAGGGACGCTTTCAAGTGTCCTGATAACCTATATATAAGGACGCATAAGCTTTTGAGACACAAGTGAATATGTCCCTCAGCTCAATGTCCTATTAGCTCTTTGGGACACAAACAACCATCCATTAAAATTAAGTGTCCCATTAAAGTCTTCCCAATTGGGACTCCTTGAAGCATCCTAAAAATCTTTTTCCAATTGGGACACTTTGAATCATCCTAACAGAGCTTTTCCAATTGGGACACCTCGAGGCATCCTAACAGTTCTTATATGACAAGACGCTTTGATATGTCCCAATAGTTCTGAATTATTATTTTTTTTAAAAAAATCTATTCTTGATCAAGCTTCAACGAAATAAAATAACACAAAAAATTCTAATAAAAAGAATATATATATAGACCCAAAAATGTCAAGCCTAATCTTACATGGCTGATAAAAATTATATACAAATATCATAACTTATAAGCATAAAAATCAAATTTGTTTCTAGGGAGCTAGCTAGCTATAGCACTTAGTTGAGTTGCAAATTTATGTGCAAATTTCTTATAAAGAAAAATGAAAGAGTAATTCCTGATCGCGAATACTTCAAGTGGAAAGAAAGAGTTGTTCACCAGAAGTCACTCTTGAGCATCATCCATAATCAGCTAAATTTGACACAAAAAAGAGAGAAACGCAAGTCAAAAATAATTGATAGACTCACCATTCACTGAACTACAATAGAAGATCAATACAATTCAATTGATAGTAGACAAACCAACGACAAGAGATTACAATCAAAAGTTCAGCTACATAAAACATGATTTAATTGAGATCATAACTACCGCACTGGAAATTGATCTTTTCATGTGCCTCGAGAGTAAATTTGCAAAAACACATTACGCAAAAGAGGACCCATGGATCGAAATGCAAAATCTATTGTACTAGAAAATTTTTTGGCGTTGAGAGGCTAAAATATGCTGCAAAGCATTAAAAAAAACAAAGAGAAGTTAAAGTTTATTCAATCTTTAATGAACCATGGCTCATGTATTGACCTCAATGAAATAGTTCCTGAACTTAATATAGTCAAAATCTGTAGCACTTTTGCTCCTTATAAGTTTTAACTAATCAATCTCACAACTCTCATAACATAGTCACTACCGCATATGAATATAGTAATTCTCCAGAATAACACCTGCCATTTATCACAAAATTTATAAAAAAGAGCAGTTGTCCTTGCAAAGTATCATGTCCATTCAAAGAAATTCCTTATCAATCATTTCACGACTGATCAAATTCTCAAGGGAAACTAAAAAAAAAAGTCCAACAGCTAAAGGATGGCCAAGACATTACTCCCAAAATCAAACCCAATGAATTCACTACAGCTCCTATAGAATTAGGTAATGCATGATTGTCTATCTTCTCCGCATTCTCTTTGCTAAAGTTGAAGGAAACAAATTAAAAGCGAGAAAAGCAACTTTCACATTGGAGTCAAAATTGAGTAATAATTATTACTATTTCCAGCAAAAGTTACAATCCTTACATAGACAAATATCCAAATTGGAACTAATGAAATACCTAAGTATACAGACTTCAATTCATAAATTCAAACGTGAACTTTTCAAAAGACTTCAAGGGAATTAACAAACTCATCTCATATATAAGCCTATCTTTTAAATTTGAATTGTTTGGGGCTCCAAGTCACGGCTTTTTCTTCATAAAAACACAAGCCAAATCAGAGAACCAAAGAATAAGGCTTGCACTTCACATTCAACCGTCAAAAATACTAAAGTCAATTAGGTACATTGCATCATAACCTGTTAACAATTTGCAGCAAAGTATTCATGGATGTTTGGGGCTCCAAGTCACGGCTTTTTCTTCATAAAAACACAAGCCAAATCAGAGAACCAAAGAATAAGGCTTGCACTTCGCATTCAACTGTCAAGAACACTAAAGTCAATTTGGTACATTGCATCATAACCTGTTAACAATTTGCAGCAAAGTATTCATGGAGAAAAGACGATACCAGTTTGAGAATAAACGCACATTCATTACAATCCAGACTCGCAAACCACCATCACTCACTGCATTCCCGATCAACTAACATCAGGGGACATAAAACACATTCAAAAGAGGAAAAACTGAACTGTCATCATTATCATGTTAATTGAATTCAAGCTAACAGATTCCTCTAATGATTAGTAGATCATTAGAGAGTGAATGTCATCATAAACACCAAGTAAACAATCCCATAAAACTTAGCAAAACTCTTCAATTCTACTCGGGTGAGTTCTACAAATCCGCACAAACGGGAAAAAGATAAATAAAAATAAAGAAACTTACTCAGAATCAGAGAGTTTCCAATCACTTTAGGCTTCAATATACAACATTCCCAACGCCTCTCCTTTCCATTGATTTCCTTTGCAAGGGACCAAGCTTAGCTTTCCTAATTTTGCATCATTTAATATAATTTACAATGAGAAATTCGCAATAATAAACAAATAAATAATGGAGCATACCCAAAAAAAAAAAAAAAACCGTACAGATCGAAGAAGAGGCGCCCTCCCCCGGCAGTGAAGGATTTCTGAATCTTCGTCCTCCACCTCGTGTCTCCTTCTTCCTCTTCCCACATTGGGCTTAGGCTCGTTGCTCGTGATTCAAAGAGGCAATATAGGACAAAACAACAAAAAAGCAATCGGAAGAACTGGACTCGGGAAAGGTTTAGTTGACAGTAATTGAAAAGTATATCCGTATAGGCCTAGATCTGATGGATGAAGGCTTTGTGGATTTGTTTTTGGGTCATGGTTCTGTGAAAGAAGATGATGGCGGCGGTGGTGAGGATTCGTAACCGCTGGTGGGTAGATGAGTTTTTTCTAGAGTGGTGAAATCAAATTTGTTATTTGTGGTTGTGGTGCGAAGGG